TGTTTTTAAACAGCGATTGAAGGATTTGAAATATTGTAGGCCTATCATTAGAACAAAAGTATTTTTGTTGTGGTCTTTCATAATATCCAATTTAGTACGCCTATGATAAATTCCATTTTGCCGCTTTCTTAATTCGTTATTCACCAGTCATCAACCTATATAATCTAAGCTACTGTCAGCATCATTAAATAAACGACAAAGAAATAAATATATAGATAACGAATGGATTATGGAAAAAGTAAAAATTTAAACAAAAAGAAAATTACGTCAAAATATTCAGGAGTCAATGAAGCGAATAACGGAAACTTGTTTTGAAGGAGAGACGTGCCTGCGGTACAAGGCGTTTTTGCTAATGCTTAGAAATTAAGTTACGTTTTAAACGTTGTAAAATCAAATTGTAATTCAAACTATGATTGTGTGGAAAGTCATGGGCGATATTACAGAATATGGTATTTTATCGTAGGTGTTCGGAGATGTTGGTAACATGTTAAACATGATTCCACCATATTGTCAAAGATAGACTCACAGTGAATACGGCGGTGCTCTCTGTAAATAAATTCATTTTAAAAAGTGCAGATGTCAGTAGAGATGAGGCGGGACTGGTATTACAAGTAGTGGATGGGTTGGGATGGCATGTTAGGTGAACGCACACCCGCATTTGATTTTATACCGAGAAATAATTGGATATGTCAAAAACAAATACAGCATCTGGAGGCACTGGTTCAACAAAATTGATACAAAAATTGTGTTACCATCTTTCAGGAAAGAGAAGAGGTAAGTCACCCAATTTGAAACACCAACAATTGTACTGTTAACAGTAAACGATCTTTGTTTTACAAATCAGTCACTTCTGACAGTGCTTTCAAATGATGATATTGAGTTAGTCATCTTCTTTGTTTCCATAGTGCCATATCAATTACAGTTGTGGATGTAAGAATAAGTATTTCAGTGGTTATTGTCAACCATTTGAGTACATTTTTTGCAAAATGCAGTATGTCTTACTTTTCTTTGATGTTAAGGAGGGTGTTGTTTCTGTGTGCTAAAATATTCTGTATTTGTATGTATGAAAACTAATTAAAATATGACTGTGTATGAGATTTGACCTTTCACAGAAAGTGAATGCAGTGAGGTCTTCTCAGGTAATCAGCCTTGTGAGAATGATTCTATTAGTCCACTGTTTCAGAGACTTGCTCCATTGTCAGGGCGATATGGCCTGCTTGTACATGAAGACATGGAACTCTGAGATCCAGCCATAGGTATAAATATGTGCAGTCATGCTACCCATCACATCGATTAAAAACAACACTGACTGTGTCATGAGTGGGATGACTGACTCTGAAACTTTGCCTGTTGACCCACTTGCATTCAAGGACCTGTAACTCTTGAGAGCCAGCCATAGGTATAAATATATGTGCAGTCTTGTCGCTCACCATATTGACCCTGATGATGGAGCCAGAGTGTCTGTGAAATGGTGGATTATAACATCATTCTTACACATGTGATTGCCTGAGAAGACTTCATTCAATATGATGTCAGTATTTATGCATAGGATAATTATGCACAGAAGATATAGATCACTGAATTGTGTAGTTATTAAAATATAAGTTCCTACTACATTTATCATGAGCTGGGGTAGCTCAATCAGTATAGTTTCTGACTATGGACTGGATAACCAGGGTTTGATTCACAGCAAGGGCAAAGGACTTTTCTTCTACCCTCTGCATCTAGACTAGCTATGGGGCCTACCCACCATCCTGTCCAATGAGTAGTGGGGGTCCTTTCCGCATGGATAAAGCACAGCTGGGTTGTGACACTGATCACTCAATCCCATCTAGAGCTGAGGTCAAGAATGAACGGGAATTATGCCTTCTCTCCCCATGCGCCTTCTTGTCATGTAGCAGTGCAGCTTTACTTATTACTGTACTGGCTTCACCATATAGACTGAAACATTTGAGAAACTAGGCATCATTTCCCAGAACTTATTGTTACAGTTAATTTCTTATTACAGATGATGCAGCACGTTTATTCAAATTCACTATACAGAGATTATATGAAACTCCTCATGGTGACAGAGAGCTTCAAGATGAGTACAGTATTACAGATATTATAAAAAAGAGATTGGCTGAGACAAGAACTGAAAAGGAGGTGTGTATTTTCAATGAACTTCATCGGAAATTGCAAACAGATGTAAGTATCAGACTTAGTATAATGAGTTTCCCTGAACTTGCAGGCCTACTTGGTAGTTGTTACATTTCAAGAAAAGTAGGCTTTGTAAGTTCTTCCTGGAGTGTCTTATAAAGTAATAATAATGTTTCCCAATTCAGATTGTGTCTCTTCCACTTATTATTTACTGTTGTTAGTTCTATTCAGTCACCACCACTTCATACACTTTTTTCAACTGTATCTTACTTACATTATTTAATCATGTTTTTCAAAAGTTTATCACTAATGTCAATATTTTCTGAACAACATGTTTCAATTATAATATCATCATCAGGCTCATTACATTTTCTTGTACATGTCTCTTCACAGCCATGCAGATATTTGTAACTAATATTGATATTTAATAAAAATAATACATTTTTGAAGTCTTTCAGATATTTAATAAAATCTTGGTCGAAGTTATGATGCTTTGTGTTCCATCTGTTGTGTGTATTTCTGTATGTGAATATGTTCTTTTTTGTGTTTAGTATTATGGTTGGATATGTGTGAATTGAAGTTTTATATGTGTCGTACCTTTACCTGTATTTTGCCATGTTGTCTATTTAGTTTGCCGAGCTAGTATTGTATCTTATGAAGATTAATTTTACTGATAGAAAATGTGTGATATATTTTTAAACTATTAAAGTAGTTCCTTTCTTACCATGTTTTTTAATGTTTATAGTACTATGTAATAGCCTTATCTGACCATTCTTAGTGTAGTATGTTGAGGAGTTTTGATTTCGTTTAGTTTAATCTAATGTACTTAAGATGTGACATTTACACATATTTTTGAGTTCAACACATTTTCATAAAACTTCATGCAGTGTAATCCCTTCAGTTATATGTGTAAGTTCCATTCACATCAATAAATTTAAGGGTCATGCTATCAGTGGCTCAGAATGTTTAGTGTATAATGACAGGATGATAAATGAATAATGAATAGGAAATGCTGTGTAGCTAAATGGTTGACACCAGTTGAAGGTACTATCCTAGCATATGACTGGAGTGACTGAGGATAACCATGACAAATCTGTTTGTAAATAGGCAATCTCCAGGCTAAGATTTGAACCTGGGTCCTCCCGAATATGAAGCAGGAACTACTTGACTGTTTGCTTGATTTACAGTGTGTTGAATATGCCTTGACAAGAGGCAGATGTCATATGTAAACAAAATGTACCTGTTTAATGCTCCATAAATATGCACTTGTCTCTTCTCAGTAGAATCAACAGTTGGAATTATTGTTGTCAAAAAACTGTTATTTACGTTTCAGCACTCGATAAAAAATCACCAATCTATACTGTTATTTCTGATGCATGTTAGTGACATACGACAGGTGAATTACGATGGTTCATCATCGCCATTATTCAAAGGATTGATTGCATCAGAATCTGCAGTAAGTATCGTATTGTCCCTTGTGTCTTTAAGTTAACATTTTTGAAAAATATGTTTCTACAGAACAGAAGATGAAATATTTGTGATGATTTGAACAGTTCTTGTTTATCCTTTAGTTCAAAGGAAGTGTGTTTTATTACAAATGTACATCATACGTGAGATAGGATTGAATACTTGGTGGTGCAAATGTCTTTGTCAAATCAAAAGCATATTTGCATATGTTTTCACATAATGTACTAATTGCAGCAAAAAACAATTCTCTGTCTGTATTGAAGTATGTAGTTGAAGTGTCTTTATGTGAACATGGATAAGTCAGCTTTCTAGTACCCATTTATATTATCTGTCTGAGAAAGTTTGCATATAACATACTTTGAAAAGATAATGCAAATTTTATTAATTATTGGCTTATTATTAATCAGAACAAAAACTAATAATTTCAACCATAAATCTTCTTTTCTCTCGCTCTCTCTCTCTCTCTCTCTCTCTTTTGGGGGGTGGGGAGTTGCTTATGTCTGTACAGTCTTCAGTTCATCCCAATTCAGTTATGGAGGACAATATAACAGATGCTTGGTAGACCAATTTTTGCGGAACATTCTATGAACAGTGTGTTATTGGAAGGCATTCCATGTTAGAACATTTTAACTATTATATAACTGTAAAGCTAGTTCAAATTTGTGATGAGATCAACACTAGTGCATGTCATTTATTTTTTGACAAATAGAATATGTGTCAGGAATTGATGTGTGACTTTTCAGTCATTCTGTATATATGATGTGTAACTAGCTTAATCCAGGTCCACTAGTTTTATGTAATTACTTTATCATTGTAAAATAGAAAAATAATAATAATAATAACAAGAACATGCTGCTGTTGTGTTATATGTTACTCTGATTTTACTTGTCTAATGTCACACATTAATAGACACTGATAGTGATCTGTTTTCCAGGAACCAATTCATCCATCTTCCTTTGGACTTCCAAGACTGTCATCATCCTCAATTCCTTCAACACAGGCAGCTCCTGGGATACCCAGTGATGTCATAACAGTTAGACACACAGGTGAATACAGAATTATATTTCATTATCTTAGCTAGGAAGCCACTTATGGAGTTATTTTGACGTAAGTATGTCTATACGGAAGGGTCATTTAGCATTTTCCGTCAACAATCCGCTTTCATTATTGCGGAAAGAGCTGAGCTGTGAATCGCTTCTAGAAGAAGTGTGTCATAGAGTAAATGATAATGTGCTGTTAAAAACTTTTTAGAATATCACAAGTACTTTTCTTATATGAGAATTATTAAGAAATGTGTGATACTGCCCTCCACTCTCTCCATTTTAGTTTTGATTTAATTGATCATTGCCGGTGGTTCCACTGTCAATTTTTAGCAGGTTGTGCTGTGAAGTGTGAAAACATGATTGCTTAAAAGTAATTTATTTCCTATTTACTTTAGTCCAAGTCATTATTAACCTTTATTGTCCGTGTGTTGCGGCTTTGGCACAATCCAACTGGCCGTGCTTCTCGCTAGCACACTGCTAAACTGTTAACTCAGGAGTTACAGTTTGTTTAAATATGAAAACTATGAATGTGAAATCATAATAGTCTGTGGTTTCCAGGATATTACATAATTTATTATACTTATATTAATTGTTTTCGTTTTATACATTTTAACAGATCAAAATTGGCGTCAAGACAATCGCAGAATGGAAAATGTTAGCCAGAGCAGCCAATCATCATTGCGCCAAAGTTCTGAGAGCCACGTTCCCTCTGTTGCTAATCTTAATAAACCAGGTAATTAGCTCATAAGCACTACATTAAACAAATGTGAACAGATCAGGTTATGGATCTGAAATCATATTAATCTATATATACGATATATATCTATGATTCTTCTATGGCTCTCCGGTCCGTATTCAGTCCATGGCCTCCTCAATTCTCCTCTTCCATTCAGTCCTCTGTTAGGTCCGTCTGTCCAGGGCTTTGATTTAGGTTTCGAAACATCTTCCTTTTTATGGTGCAAGGTTGTTAGCCTTGCGACCATCCCCCAACCTGGAGGACCATGGTACCTGTCTTAGTCTGACCTCTCCCCCTCGACCAATCTGGCTAGGGAGGCCCTACTAGTAGCTATGCTACCGCCAGCGTAGCTCTTGAGATCACTGAGATACTCAAGCCCCACCACCACGACAAGGTGCAGGTACCATTAAGTGAGGATATATATCGTATTATAAAATATCTATGATACAGCATATTAATATTTGCTGTATTGCATATTAATGTCTTTGATTTGGTGATTCAGTTTTTCTTGAGGTGCCAGAATCTCAGCTGCTGCAGGACTTGATATATTCGTTTCAAGGCATCGATGGAAAGGTTCTCAAGTTAAGTCCAGTGGGTCAGGGCTACAAGCTTGATCCAAAGGTATGCATAAGAATTAGAAGGGCTGTACTGCATTTGTCCAAATATAACATGCTTTTCCATTCCTCTGAAATTTATGAAAAATTCTGACTGAACAACTGTCCGCTTCTAGGTGCGAGTGAAGCGGTCTGTTCGTAGATATGTTCTGCGACTTGCCGAGCTAGGTTGGTTGCACAACCAAGTTAGGCAGCACTGTGAAAATGCTGCTTGTTCCAAAACTCAGGGTCTCATTGGTCAAAGCCTTAGTGCAGCCTTTAGAGAAGAATTGACTGAATATTATCGCTTTGTTGCCATTCTGCAGTCACAGGTTAGATTTCTGTATATTATTCTCATTTGATGTAGCTTAATTTGTATTATTAAATAGTATAGTGATCCTGTGTGATTGTTAATCTTATCTCATTTTTAGAACTTTTCAGATATTGCAGAATTAAAGGTTTTAAAATGTTTTTAGTAACCACTGTCTTCTTACAGCTATTATTGTGAGGCGTATATTTCGTCTGTTCTGTAAGCTCCAGATTAAATATCCTCTGGCTGGCAGTGAGCATATCGCACCAGATATGGGTGTTCAAAGTGCATTGAATATGATTCTTGACACCAATAGCAATCTACATTTCTTGGAGATTTAAAATAGTAGGACATTCATTTTCCGGGGTTTATAGATATGGAGAGGATTTGTATTGATACCTGGTGGTAGTTGGCATCACTGGACTCCATAGCTTTGCGCTGGCGTTATACACTAGGGATTTCGTTGAATCCAGAAATTTCAAATCAACAAAAGTCTCTGGGTTGATATTTTGAAATTTTGGGAAACTTGTGAGAGCTCTTTCTTTCATTGTGTTGGTCTTTCTAGTTTCTTCTGTAGAAATTAATAAAATCTGTGAGCATGTTTTTTAATAAAAGTCTCTAACAAACCAATATTTTAAGTCCTTCTAATTACTGTAAATAGTCATTTTCCTTATATCCGTAAATAAATGTTCCAGATAAAGTTACAAATGGACACATCTGTGGACTCCCCTTTGAGTGAAGAACAGCCACTATATCACAGAGAAAGCCTCACACTTTTCAGGCTGACTGTGTGGGCATTTGAACCACAAAGGCGTATGAAGTGTTTGGTCGCGGTTGCAGATGCATGTAAGGATAAGAAAGGTGGGGAAATGGCATCATGTGTTCATGGTTTCTTGCAACACGGAGATCCAGTCATCAGAGAGACAGCAAAGAATCTGCTGGGAGCAGTAAGTTTCTATTCACATTTTGAAAATTTTATTTTTTTTAGTTTATGATCTTAATTCTCATTTTATCACTGGTCAGCCAGTAATAGGATACCCATTCGTTCTTCAGGAGCTAGTTCTCTCAAATTATAAGAAATGATGCTTCAGGCTTCTTGTAATGCCTCCAGTTATGATCTTTTAGCATTTGCGACTTCCCCACCTGGCATAGATCAGTTGGTCATTGTTAGCCTTCTGGGTTCTAATGCCATGTGAACCTGTAGGTAATTACCAACATTTCAGAGGAAACCAGTGAATTGTAATTCATATAAATTGTTTGTTGTAGGTGTGTAAACCATTGTATGTTATGTTGAGTCGCTGGATTCTTGATGGTGAGCTAGAGGATCCATACAGTGAATTCTTTATTGCTGCTGACCTAGAGGTGAAAGGTGACCTTCTGTGGCATGAAAAGTACCGTGTTCTGTGAGTTTTATTTTTATTTTTTCCCTTTTCTCTGTAAACATAAGTTTCTATGTAAGATTTGAGGTTTTCACAGTGGTGAGTATGGAGATTTCTGTCTTCTGGGTTGTTGCGCTGTGTAGTCTGGTCGATGTTAACCAACGTTTCAGAGGTCATACTGCCTCCGTCATCATTGCCCTGATGACGGAGGCAGTGTGACCTCGTAAACATCGACCAGACTACACAGTGCAACAACCCAGACGACAGAAATCTTCACAAGTTTCTATCTTTCTCAGATGAATAACTTAGTGCAGTATTAACAGAAATACAAAGAACATAACTAGAAAATGGGCCCAAAATACATTGATAACAGATCTTTCTCAATCAGAAGTACTTTTGAACAGATGTGGTAAGCTTGTTTACCAGTGTCATAGTGTCTAGTACTCCATCTTTAAGTGAAGTGAAGATTTGGGTATTATATTAGTTACTTTGTGCTGTATCAACCAGAAATCTTATGTTTAAAACTTCCAAGTCTGGAATGGAAGTTTCATTTAAATCTGCCTGTTTTCACACTGTTATGTTGTGAGCATGCCCATTGTTTCAGAGAGTCGATGGTACCTAGCTTCATTCCACTGGCACAAGCAAAGAAAATTCTTGCTACAGGAAAAAGCATCAACTTTCTGAGAGAGATATGTCAAGATCATACTCCTGTCAAAGGCAGGGAGGAGCTGAAACATGCACTTGCATGTGCTAATGGTAAGCTTGATTTGCTAACCTTCCTTTATGTATTATACGTTTTAACATGATTTGTCCACTCGTTGGATATGCATATAATGCTTACATTGGTTGCAGTGGAATCTTTGTTCATGGCTGACCGTGATAGTGATCTCCAATCCATGATAGACACAGCATACCTGGAGACTTCACGTCGTGTATTAGATGTGTTAATAGGACAGTACAAATTTCTGGACCATCTACAAGCTCTGAGACGCTATCTTCTTCTTGGGCAAGGGGACTTCATTCGTCATTTGATGGAGCTGTTGGAGTCAGTATTTGTTGTTCATTACCTTATTATTATGCTGCTTCAGACCAAATTAATAACTGCTCAAATAAAAACATTAACTTGTACCTATCTTCAAAAGTTTAATTATATACATTGTTTGATTTTGTGAGAATTATAAATTTGTTGTTTTTGTCACTCAAATATTACACATTCACTGCTACTGAATATTGTGGTTGAGTAGTTAGCACTTTGGTTATGTATTTGTGAGGTTCTGAGTTTGGTCCTTGGCCTGAAAGCCAGTTATCCAAAGTTTATTTCTTTCCCTTGAGACAGATGTGAGAATCTTAAAGTAGGCAGTAATTACTTTCTTTCACACCCTTCCCAATTCATGATTCTCGTTGATCCTGTCATTCAGCAGTGCTTTATTGTTTTGTGTTTAGATTGGTTTACATTTGATTTGGAATCCAGCAATCCTGACTGAGTTTTCCACCATAAAATATGTCATGACCACATTCAGTGCTTATTATCATGTATTCAGTTTAACAGGTAACCGCCACGGTGGTCTAGCTGTTAGAATGCTGGACTTGTAATACTGGGGTCCCGGGTTCGATTCCCGGCGGTGCTCAGATTTACAACTTGTGTTGGGCAAGGCCATGGTCCAGGCATCATGGAGTTTTCCTCCGGGGTTTTCCCGGTTTCTCCGTGGCATCCAAACAATTACTCCACTTTCATCATCATTTTGCAAAGGGGGTCACAGCAGGAGCATTAAATGTAGCGGTCCCGGTCGAACGCATGTACTGATGGGTCACGTTAAATGTTGCGGTCCCGGTCGAACCCATATACTGAATCCTGCTAACCACCAGTGCACACCATGCTGAATAGTGTGTACTGGATATGAAAAAAAAAAGTTTAATAGATATAACACACTTCTTTCTAGCTTGTGGTCAGCCAAATGTTATTACTGTGCTATGAATGGATAATATATAAGATTTGTTTTAGTTATTATCACAGTGTCTAAAAGAGGTCTTAAAACACATGCAGTCACACAAACTTTGAAATATTAGTAAGTATATAACCATTCTGTTGACAATATCTACCACTTGCTGAACATCTGGCCACACTACTTGAAGGAAATTTTGTAATATTAGAAGACTTTTCCTTATTGGCTAACCTGCTTATAATTATCCTCTGTTAATTTGTAGACCAGAACTGATCAAACCAGCCATACAGCTATATCCACATAATCTTTCTGGTATATTGGAATCAGCAATAAGGGCAACCAATGCTCAGTTTGAAGATGCAGATATCTTGAACCGACTTGACGTTCGATTTCTGGAACAGTCCCCTGGTGATACTGGTTGGGATGTATTCAGTTTGGATTATCACGTAGATGGGCCCATTGGAACAGTAAGCTTAAATGTATTTTTATTTGTAAATTTCTAACCTAAGAGTTATTAGGTGGCTGAAAGCAGGTAATCATCAGTTCTGTGTGTAAACTTATGTTTTATAATGGAAAGACTTGCTTGACTTTTAGATCTTTACCCAGAACTCCACTGCGTATCTGATGCTGTTCAGTGCATTGTGGCGAGCTAAACGTATGGAGTGGATTCTGTCAGGAATGTGGAAGCGGCAGATCACATCAGCCAAATTACTGCGAAAGCTTCCAGGTTTGTCTTCAGGTTATGTAAACAAAAACAGAGAAATGTACTATTTTTTTATTTAGCAGCAAAAAATACTTTACTCTCCCCTTAGCACAAAGTAATTTTATTTCCTTAAGAATTCCATTTTTATAGCTTGTACAAAACTACTAATTAGACTTATGTACTGATAAAAACAGTTTCTAAAGGGATAAAATTGAGGTATACAATTTTTACTTGAGAAATGTTTTTATTAAAGAGAGTTTTTATTTTATGTTGTTAGAATTGTCCCATGACAGAAGGACTTGAAGAATATTTATAAGAGAAACATTTTTGTTTATTGCATCAAAATCTTTGCTACAAGTTACATACACAATTTAGAAAATTGATTATTCTAGGAACTGCAACAGTAGATTGTTAGGACATAATTTGAGCCATGGCCACTTAAAGTCAGGTGGTCTTAATTAAAAAATACCTGTAAAGGCTTTACAACACTCATGACATCTGTCTAGCCATTTCACTTCAGTCCTTCTTTAAGGCTGAATGTTATGACACATTCTGGCTCCCCACTGAAAATAAATGAGAATTTGATTAGACTTCAAAGGTACCAGCTTAGAAAATTTTATTTACGTAGGATTTGAGGTTAGGTTAGTTGTCATTTATTGAAATAAAATATAATAACTTTCAAGTATATGTCATTTATCCACACACATTAACCTAACCTAACCTATTTTTAAAGCGATGTGTCCCGATAACCCACAAATACCGTAATTTTTAATTACATTTTTCTTGATGTTACACTTTAAGTAATTTCTGTGTGTTCCATAGTAGAGTATAAGTGACTTTTAGCTTCATCATGTTTATCCATCTGCTTGTACAGATATAAAAGTCTGTTCTTTGTATTATTTCAGAATTGGGTCCCATACTTCAGCGGGCACATTTGTTGACATCAGAGATGGTTCACTTTATCCATCAAATGCAGTATTACATACTGTTTGAAGTGCTAGAATGCTCATGGGATGTCCTTATCAAACAAGTTCATAGGGCAGAATCGCTTGATGACATCATTTCTGCTCATGAGTACTTTCTGATTACTGTCAAAGCAGGGGCCTTGTTAGATGATAACTCACAGGTATATCAATAAGTAAGGCTGTAAATGACAAAATGTTTTTCATCATCAGTGTGATGCCCAACAACCTATAATACAGCCATCTTCATACTGACTGCTGTGAGAACCTGAAACGTCACATTCTGTATGCATTCCTTGTCTTTGCCACCTTACCTAACTCCATGTGGCAGAGTTCTGGGAGAAGGCAACAGTCATCCTGCTAGTCAAAGAAATTTCTCACAACTTACAGATTGCAAAGGTTCATAAGAAACAGTGGTGTGTAGAAGAGTACCCAGGGAATCTGTGATTTCTCAGACACTTGTAACAAATATTAATACCAGTAGTCTTTCTGTAAGTGTCCATTTTAGTAACCATGATAACACTATATTCTCAGTTTCTGCACCTGTATGTCATATGGGTTGAAGACAATATTATAACTACTAAGCATCCATGGCAGTGGTGCCCGCCAAGCTTTTTTTGGGTACCCGCGTTGCTACGGAAAGAGGTTATACTGAATAATGAAGGCCGTTTAACAATGAACATATAAAATCAAAGCACAGATCTCGACTTACTGACGCCCATCTTGACAATTGTTTGTGAGCAGCAACATCATCCTACACTCTGAAATTTGAAAAACTGGTCGATGAAATGCAGTGCCAAACATCACACTAACTTCCCTCTTAAGTAATAATAATTGTACTTATAAAACTACGTATTTTTGATTGCGTGGTTTCTTGTATCATTAAACGTTGTGTGGTTTTGTGTATTATTTGGTGTCCATATCTTATTTGTCCAGAGAAAAGAATTTGGCTTTGTTATTTGGTTGGTGCCCGCGACAATCTCATAAACTCTCAAATGTGCCCGTAAGCACAAAAAGGTTGGGGACCACTGATCCATGGTATCTAGAAGAGGTTGATCTTGATCCGTATACCAAAGAATATCTCCTGCTGACTATTTTAAATTGTAGAATTGTGACTTGTATTGGGAGTCATTACTGTATCCAGTTTTGCACCACATAAACTTAATATGGACAGAGTAATGATCTATGACAACTTAGGGTAAGGGTCTTGGGTTTTAAAACTGTTACATCTGCAAGTTTAGGACTGTTAGTCTTGGCAATTGAACCTTAAAACTTTCACATATGAAGAAAGAGTTATGTACTAGCGTTCATAAAGGTTTCATGACAGTGAAGTTATGTGTATAGCCACCAAACTGTGTTATACGTTCTGTCTGTCTCTCTTTCTCTGTGTATGTGTATTTTTTTATATTTTAACTAAATTATTTTTTATTCCGTTTGAATTATTTTTAGAAATTGTCAACTCAGTTACGTACTGTGTATGAACTTATTCTACAACTTCAATCCCTTGAAGAGGAATTGCATGCAAGGTCTCTGTCAGAACTCCAAGCACTTGCAAAGCATGAAGAGCTGGTGGAGGAAAGAGGAAAACTCGGACAGTTTGGGACATCAACCCATGAAGAAGAATTGTATCATAAACAAAGTCAGGACTTCAAACAAAGATACATTACTAGTGTTCAGACACAATTAAGAATACTGAGCAAAAGCTACCAGGTAAAGTATTTCATTAATGGAATTAACTTCTTCTCATTAAATAAAAGTATGCTTTCTTCACTGCACAACAAAGATCCACTTTCTGTTAAAATGTATAAACAGACCTCTGGACATTAAGTAATTGATTATTTATGGAACAGTGGTAAGAAATTAATCACATTGCAAATTTGCCATCTGCAATGTGAAATGTCTCCTTTCTGCCAATTTACCAGTATTTACACATTGAATGGTGCATCTTAAAACATTTCAATGCTTTCATTTATCATTATTACAGAAATATTCTCTATGGGTAGGAATGGTTGCAGTGGAGATGACCAATCAGCTATTCTTTATAAAAAGATAATGGTGTGGTACATCTCTGTTGTGTCTGGATTCGTGGGTTTTTGGACTCGGTTCGATTGTTTGATGTTATAAAATTACGCAGCATGTTGAGGACTGGATCTGTCCTCGTCTTCAGGTGTGATGAAGGGGAAGGGCACCTACTCTGGGGTTTGTTACAATTTGCTAATCTCATTTACTGGACTAGTGACTTGATATTACTTCACTGTGTAATTTTGTAAGATGAGACAATGGACAAAGTCATAAAATCCAACAATCCAGATTGTACTATATCATTGTCAGAACCAATCAGAATATATCTCTATTATGATTATGCATTTCCTGTGTCTGGTTGTTTTCTCTATTGGCTGGATTACTTCTTTATAATTTTTTTCTTTCTTCCTAGGATGTTGTGAAAAAATTCCTTCTTATGTTGGCTAGCCAGTCAGATGTGAGTTTACAACTCCTCAGTTTCCGACTCGATTTCAATGAACATTACAAACGACTGGACTCTCGGCTGAGAGCTCCACTCACTTACCAGCATCGGCGTTTGAGCGAGATGGGATCTGGTAAGAATATTCCAGGAGCATCACAGCAGAAGGTTAGAATCAAGTGACATTCAGCCTGTGGAGCACCTTCACAGCCCGGTAACACTGTAGCTTCAGCTGCACTGGAGATAGATCCCAGTAGAGTAGAAAACATTGTTATAACACAATGTTCTACTGAACACGGTGATAACATTGCAGATGATTCTACAATAGAAACTGTTTTATGCAAAGATGTTTCTGGTGTTATGGATAATGACAATTTTATGACAGTTGAAGACTTGAGGAAGGCAGAAATGGTAGGAAATGATCAGTATATCGATACAGAGCAGGTGAGTGTAGAAGGGAATCATGTTTATAGCACAGGTCAAATATCTGTACATTCTGAAGATGTAATGTTTGAATTGAGAAAGTCATCTCACTTGCGTGGGAATAATAATTACAAAGGAGATGAGTTTGGAAACAATAATGACCATGAAATGGATGTTGCCGATAATAGATCAAATTTACAAATATACAATACGGTCCGTTCGGTGTTAAACCATTCTGATGATAAATTAACAGTCTTTGGACATTGTGTTAAATTTAAATTGAATGAAACTGGAGATGGAATTCCAAAAAATAATAATGACATGGAGTTGGAATTGAAATATGCTGAAAAGTTCAGCAGCGTTTCCAGTATTTCATCTGTAGTCCTAGGGAATGATAGAGATAATGTGGTATTTGAATATTCAGGTAAAGTTGAGGAAGAAAGTTGCAAGAGAGGGTTTAGTATTTATCCAGGTAGTGGGGAATTTGACAACACAGAGACTGAAGGAACAGGTAGCTGCAATAGTGTAGATGAAATTGGCATAGATTCTGCTGACTTTATAAATGGCAGTGAAATACATGTACACAGTAATGATGTGTGTGAAGTAAGTTCATGTTCTGACTTGAATATTGATCTTGCAGAAACAGGCACAGGCATGGGAACAAAAATTTCATGCGAACAAAATGAAAATTCTTCTAGTCATTTTACAGGTAATTTATATTTTCAGAATATTACACCTGAAACTGAAGATGATATTCATAATGGGAGAGGAACCCCCATTAGTTATGTGACAACAGCTGATAATAGTTCTGTTGATTTGGATGGAAGTGTTGAGCAATTTCCCATAACTGGGAATTACCAGATCATAAACTGTAACACTGAAATTTATTCCAGTGAAAATGATAATGTCCGAGGGCTTGAGACGCTACAGTCAAATCAGGAAATTGCTAAATTCTGTGTGAAAACAGAGTTTAAGAAAAGTACAATGGATGTTAACAGTCCGATAGTTGATTCTCTGGAACATTTTTGTTATGGTAGTACATGTGAAAACAAAAATGCATCCCCAATTAATGATATATCCCAATGTAACAGTAAGAGTAATACTAAGCTGACAAAACCTATTACGAATAACAAAAAGGAACCACATATTACTTGATGTTGCGTAGGGTGAGTTGTGAATTGATAGTCATGAGTTATTCTTTGATGCAGAAAGTTATAATTTATGGAGCTGCTAAAACATTAGAAGTATCAATCTTTTATCTGAAACTTGATATGTAGTTAGTTACAATATTGATGTGTGTTACTCTCAGTGTGGCAACTTTCTCCCATTTCAGAATAACCAGACTATTATCAACTCACCCTCAGGCCAGCAGGTTGGTGGCCATGGATATTTATCTCTTATTTTATCTTTATATGCAGCGTGTCAGGTTGAAAAGTTGAATGGTGCACATTCAGGAATTTAACTTTTACACCAGTAAAAATATTATCCATGTTGCATTTTGACCCAGTTAAGTAACACTGTACTGAGTAGACAGTGTTCACTATTAGATACATTTCAGTCTTGCAGTACAGCATTGTGTGGAGGTAAGGAAAATGATACTCATCATAACACCTTATGTGGTTTCTGCAGAGATGGAAAATTCCTGCTCGGTAGTATATTGAAAAAGAAGAAACTAACTCTTTGATGGAGGTGGTAATTTCTCACCTAATAAAGAAACACTGTATTTTATGGAAATCAAATGTTCAGTACGATGTTCCCATGATCCCAGTCTTGGGCCCTATCCTGAGCTACTTGGATCCAGTTTACACTCCTACATCCTGCTTCTTTAAATTTTGTTTTTATAATATCCTATCATCACTTTCCTAAATCCCACCTCATATACTATCAGGCATCATCATTTGGCCTGATTTCATGATACAGTTACATGGAGATGTCATTTTAGTTTTAACCTCCATAATTGTTACTGTCAGAGTTTGGAGTTATTTAAACATCAGTCTCATGTTTTATTGTCAGTGTATAGTTAGTGCATGTAGTGTATCATGTAAACATGATGGAGTGCATGTTGTAAATTGTAGTTTCCAGTGGCTGAATTTTGTGTTAAAATGCATTTCAGTTTCCATTTTATGGTTTTTATTTTGTACTATTAATAATGTCACAGATTTCTTTCAGACATAAAAATAATTGTTGTATTGTAAGATTTCAAAAGTATTCTTGGAAATATCATCACGTGTTTTATTTTCTGTGTGTGTCAGTGTTGGTAAATTCTTTCTTGTTTGTTTTATGTAACATTTGTCTGATATATTTAGTTTTAATACTTCTTAATAACTGAAATGATTAGTTGTTCAGCTAGTCAAGAAATTCCTCACCTTTACAGGTTCAGACAAGTTTCCATTATTAAAAGGAAACAAATTTCTTTTGATCTTTTTAAATTTTCAGTTGATTTGCTGCTTTAGTTTGTGTTTCTTATGTTTTAATTTTTGGAAATCATGTCTGTTTTATTTTTCAGTAATTCATCCCTGCTATGCATGGTTCTGAAGGATTCCTGGCAGCTTTCATTAAATCACACCTCCAAAGCAGAAATTATATGTGTGTTAATTCCTGGTTCATTTGTTATTGTTAAAAATTTAAGGGCTGAAGTGAGATCAGATTGTATGCAGTTTTATTAATAAGATTAGTTTTGATGATTATGTTCTGCATTATGTAGACTCACTGATAGATGCAAGCATTTCAACAAAACGTACTATCTCTATCTTCAAGACTGTGTGGTGATGCTGGGAAGTAGAGTGATTCAGGAATGTATGTAGTGTTGGAGGAAGGGAGAGCTGTGGTACTAAACCAATCAGGAATGAGGGGGAGAAGGTTCTGAGCCAATAGGGAGTCATCAGGCAT